TAAAATCTTTTTTAAAAAAAAGAACTAGTTAGAGACAAGCTAAGCTAAGGTTAAGCTTTTATAATTCATAATAAGTCTCTGTGTCATTATTTGGGGACTGGCAGGGCCAAGAGAAAGTACTACTACATACTTCCTGCCCCTTTCCATTCATGTGAGAATACAGGCAGAAGCTGCCCTGCCTAGAATCCCACCAGTGCTGACTCCTTTATCTCAGTCATGCACCCTCCTGAACTGAGAGAAATATGGGTTGTGGGAGCTACCCATGCAGCTGAGAGTAGGTTGTTACCAAGACTAGAGCTGATCAAAACTCACTGCTCGTAGAACCTGCGTGCTAATTTGTCCATATTATACACACACCGATGCTGATTATGTAAAAATACCTTGAAGAAAATTGCAGGCCTTAGGACTATGGCTTTCTCCATGACTTTGTTGCCCTTGAATGCAAAAGAAACATTCTACCACCCCCAACATTACTGAGGGGCTTGAGATGGAGCTGCTGCCCCAAGCCCCAAGCTGGTACCATCACACATCTCTAGAATCTTGCTGACTCCTAGGCCTCTGCCTTGGAAAAGGCTTTACTCCAAAACACCCATTTTTGCTGCCTTTAAAATGCCACATCTTGGAGTTCGAGAGATAGGCCAGTGGTTCTGCTCTTTCAGAGGACCCGAGTTCAGTTCCCAGCACCCATATCCCATCTGACAGCTCTCAAATACTCCTAACTCCAGCAGAAGTTATCGGATCCAGGGGATCCGATGACCTCTTCTGGCTTCTGCTGGCAACCACACACGTGTATCCTATTGTAGCCTATACTTATGTAAATACCTGGAAAAGAAGCATGGGAGCAAATACCTTTAATCTTAACACTCAGAGACAAAGGCAGGTAGATCTCTGTGAGTTTCCTGCCAGCCGGGGGGCTACATGGTGAGATTCTGCCTCAAAAAAGAAAATCAATCAATCAATCAAAAAAATAAATAAAAAAAAACCCCTCACATCTCTGAGCTGGAGAGATGAGCTGCCTCAGTTAGTAAAGAGTTTGCCACCCAAACATAAGGGCCTGTGTTTGACCCCTGGATCCCACGTTAAAAAAAAAAGTTGGGCATGGTGGTACACACTTGTAACCCACATGCGGAGGAGGGAGAGGCAGTTGAGCCTGTAGAGCTCACTGGCCAGCCAGCCGAGCTGGTGAGTTCCAGGCCAGAGACAAAGCCTATCTCAAAAACATACAAAAGACTGGAGAGACAGCTCGGTGGTTAAGAGCATAAAAGCACCGGCTGCTCTTCTGGAAGAGCTGGGTTTAATTCCCAGCACACATATGACAGCTCGAAACCATCTGTAACTCCAGCTCCAGGGGGGGTCTGACATTCTCTTCCGTCCTCCTTGGGTACCAGGTCCAAACATGGTGCACAGACATACATACAGGCAGATATCCATATACATAAAATAAAATAATGATTTTTTTTTAAGGCAGAAGGCTCCTGAGGAATGACACTCAGGGTTGACCTGGCCTCCACACGCACGCACACACACACACACACACACACACACACACACACACGCACACACACACATACACACACACACATGCGCGCACGCACACGCGCACGCACGCGCACGCACACACACACATACACACACACATGTGCGCACGCACACGCACACACGCACGCACGCATGCACGCACACACGAGCACGCACACACACAAACACGCGCGCGCACACACACACACACACACGCGCTCACACACGCGCGCACACACACACACTCACAAGCACACACACACACAAGCACACAAGCACACACACACACACAAGCACACACACACACTCACACATACACACAAGCACATACACACAAGCACACGCACACTCACAAGCACACGCACACACACACTCACGCACACGCGCACACACACACACACACACGCACGCGCACGCACACACACCTGCCCATGCACAGCAAGCCACACTCCCCACTTTGTCCCTGTTCCTTATGGAGCCACCAATGTACATGCTTTTCTCAACTTTCCACCAACATTCTCTTCCTCCCTCACTTAGCCCAGTACTCTCTGCAGACTCGGGAACTCCTCACTGAGTTTCTAGACATGGATTCAGTCAAGATCCCTGAAGGAACTGGCTTTCCTTTTGACAGCCATAACAGCTGAACACGTGCTTGCCATAAACCTGCCTTGGTCACGTAGAGGTCAGATGCCGGGCTCGTGACAGGGAGCCAATCGGAAGTTAACTGGTGGCGCTATGCTTTACGCCCCTGGGTGTGCTTTCCAGACAAGCCCACAGACATGACATAGAGAGCATAGCAACCTCCCTGGGAGGGCCTATGAGCCATAGCAACCAGTTGACCAATCAACACAGGGCAAGCCCTCCAAGCCTGGAAGCACACCAAACGTGAGCCTGTGCGTAAGCCTGAGCGTACCCCCCTAGACACTCCCCTTACGCTGCCCTATAAGGTCTTTTGGGAGGCGCTAGGAGCCGTCTTTTCTAGCCGTCCGCCATGGCGGGTGGGTGAAAGACCCGAGCTAACATAGGGTTAGCTCGTTAAAGTACAATAAAGCCTCGTGCAGTTCGCATCAAGCTTTTGCCTCCATTCTGTGTTTGGGGTGGCTGCCGTCCTGGACTAAGAGTCTGGAAGCCTCAGCTTTCTGAGGGTCTTACATCCCTATTTTTTTTTTTTTTTGAGACAGGATTTCTGTGTACACCTGGCTCTCCTCAAACTCAAAGATCCACCTGCCTCTGCCTCCTGAATGCTGGGGTTAAAGGCGTGCACCACCAACAAACACTGCCTAGCTAGGATCCTTCTTATCTCCAATAGGCAGCAGGAAAACACATTCTTTTCTTAGACCTTTGGTGCTTCCTCCCCTGCCTGCAAAGAAAACAGAGATGAAAGTCCCCCAGATGTAGGGGAATCTAGTGGAGGAAAAACACAGGCCAATCATTCAGAACATCACATTACCTCACAGATACAACGGCCTGAGGGCTGGTGATGGCGCGTGTGTTACAGCCACCCAGCAATGTGGGTGGGAATAAAAGAAGTGAACTCTGGGGCTGAGCATTTCCCTTCCTCGCCAGGCCAACACAGACTTCTGCACATGGTCAGCCACATGATCCGAGCATCAAAATTTCCCAGATTTGCTTGCTCGACACAAGCCATAGAGAAGCCATACTAGCAAACCACAGAACCAGGCGGCGGTGTCACACACCTTTAATCCTAGGATTCAGGAGACAGGCAGACAGGCAGATGGATTTCTCCGAGTTCAAGGCCACCCTGGCCTTCACAAGAGTGAAGAGTAACAGAGCTCACACCTTTGATCTCAGCATTTGGGATCACATACCTTAATCCCAGCACTAGGGAGGTATAAAGGGAAGAAGCAATGGGTCTCTTGTGTAGATTAGTTTCCAGAAATGGAGAGCTATTGTCTCTGAGGATTCCTGGAGAGACAGCATTGCACTTGGAGGATTTGCGTAGCCAATCTCACCTCTACTTTCAGTCTGAAGTAGAGGTGAGCACTGGTGGTGGCTGCTTTGCTTATCTGACCATCAGCTTGAATCCCAATACCTATCTCTAGGTTTTTATTTTTTGTGATGCAAGGCTCAAGCAAGGTAGAGGGCACTCCAGGAGGCACAGAGCCACACCCTAGGCTGACTTGTTCAGATCTCAGAATATCAATTTTGAGGACCCGAAGCTCTAAATAAGTTCTATACAAATAACCCTAATCCAGAAAACTCTCTAAAATTAAAAACACCCTTGAAAGACCCTCGGATTGAGGAGTCTCCACAAGTCGGACGGCCCCCCCCCCAAAACTCAATGTCCAGTCCAGCTGATGTAAAAACAAGAGGTAAGTTTATTGTGGGACATTTGCACAAATGGGCCTCCCAGTCCGACAGACAAAGGAAGCCCTGTTCCTCAAAAGCAGGCTTCTTTTATAGGAGAAAACCATAGGCTTTTAGGGGTTAGGGTACCTGACCAGAGTCACAGGTTCTTTGGAGGTCTCTTATCTTTGGGGTGGTCTCCTGACTCAGTGGGATAGTCTGTTCTTATCTTCATGACCCCAGGGCAGGGTGGCCCTCTGGGAATTCTTGGTATTTAGTTAGGTTGTCTTGTGGCCTTGTAAGGGAGTTATCGCTGCCAGCTAGGAAATTCCAGGGACTCGGGTCATTGTGACCTTGGTTAGATTTCTAAGTCAGGTCGCCCTGTTTTTAGTGTGGGAGGTTTTTTTCTAAGTCTCCTTATTTTATTTCTTTGTTAATTTTCAAGTCCTTCACCCGAACCCCTAAATTGGAGGTAACCATTTCAGAACATCTCAACCCATCAGACATCTAAAACCCCACACACTCCTACCTTCCAGGTCACTGTAAATTTCAAGTAAAGGAGCCATGAGAATCTCTTTTGCTATGCTACTACCTACGGCCTTACTCGATTCTTTCCCCTAAGTCTTTCTAGGTATTGGTGCTAGCAGACCAGGGGTTTAGGAACTAAAGCTTTTATTGATTTTACTTTAAGACAGGACCTCAAGCAGCTCAGGTCATCTTCCAATTCACATTGTAGCCATGGATGACCTTGAATTTCTGATCCTCCTGCCCCTGCCTCCCAAGTGCTGGGATTACTGGTGTGTACTGAGATGGAGAATTGGGGTGTTGTACGGGGACCAGGGCTATGCTTAAGCTGTAAGAGCCGGGTTGACCCCCATGGCCAACATACATTGTTTGACCTTGGAGTCTCTTCTTGTGCCTTTTAAGGTAGGAGAGCTTGCTGAACTATTGGGGGGATTAAAAGGGGTAGCCAGATATGCTACCACAGGCATTTAATCCCAGTACTTGGTAGGCAGAGGTAGGCAGATCTCTGTGAGTTCAAGGTCAGCCTGGTCTACAGAAGAGTTCCAGGACAGCCAGGGCTACACAGAGAAACCATGTCTGGGGGTGGGGTGGGGGGAGACAGCTAACCTTGAACATACACAAACTCAGGAAGCACAGGCTTACTTTTCCTCGACAGTGTCATAAACACAAATGTTATTTGCCCCAAAGGAGAGGCCAGGTGAGGAGTGAAGAAGAGGTTTCTGAGGCCCGTTGGCAGAAACAACTGATGTTAGCCATTCCACTCAGCACTGTGACTTTCCTAAGATCCCTTCATGCCTTTGCCATTCTCCCAAACAGCAGTGAACTTGGCCTCAGAAAGAGTTCTTTCCCTCTATGAAGTGACAGGCTAAACGGCAAGGCATGAAAAAGGATTAGTGGTTGCATGTCTTCAAATAATGGTGAGGTCCCCAGAAGCACGCCAGGCTGAGAAGGCGTCCTTTGGATGTCCGTCGGTGAAAAGGCTGGCCGCTATGAGCAGCATTTGGGGGCTCCTGGTAACAGATGTCAGGTGTTGGCAGACAGGCTGCCAAAACCAATCTTCCTTCACCCCCCAGATACCGAACTGATGGAGAGCTGGGCACAGTGGGCCTGGCAGCCCCTCTTGCTTGGATCATTGGTCGCATTATTATTTCTTAATGGCTGGATAAAACAGATGGTTTACCGTGTCATCCTGATTTTGTTGGTTTCAGGGTCCTACTCTTCCCTCAGGGTCCGGCATGTGATCAGTTTTGACAGTGATGGTGCAAGAAGGTTCCTGCCAGTAAAGCCAAGTGCACCTATTTTTTTATGCTGGGATAAACCACCGCCACCTCCAACTTCAAAACCCTGAAAAGATCTAGCAGTGCAAAGGTGCTTGTCAAAAATGCTTGCTCTGTCACAGAACCGCAGCGCTCTGGCTCCTGAAAACCCCACTCTGTACTTGAATGCCAATTGTCCATCCTTTTTGCTGTTCGTTTTGGAGAGTGTCTTCCTCTGAACTCACTCACGTGGCTCACATTGGTCTCCAACTTGAGATCCCCCTGCCTCAGACTCTGGAACAACAGAGTTATAGGTGTGTGTCACCGTGCCCAGCTTTGTCTTTTTTATTTAGTCTTAGACTTACAGTCCTGTTTATATTCTGATGAGTCCTTTAATTTAACAGATTGTTTTATAATTGGTATATGACAACTGCGCATAATGCCAGGTGTTGTGGTACACGCCTTTAATCCCAGCACTCAGGAGGCAGAGGCAGGCAGATCTCTGTAAGTTTGAGGCCAGCCTGGTCTACACAATGAGTTCCAGGGTAGCCAGGGACTGTTACACAGAGAAACCCTATATCTAAAACCAAAAACAAACCCCTCCAAAAAAACCAACAAAAACAAACCTGCACAATTTATGGGGTAATAGTGAGTGCTGTCTCCATTCGTTCACTGTGTAATGACAGACCATGATAATTAGCCTGAAATTTGTATTTCTATGCATCAATTACTTTAGAGTCTACATATTCCAGTGAATCTTTAATAAGTTTTAGTTTAGATTCATAAATGACTTAATTCAAAAGCTGGGAAGTGCTTACCACACAAACATGAGTACTTGAATATGGTCCATAGCACATGTGTAAAAAGCCAACTGTAGGGGTGCAAATCCTAGTGCTGGGGGTGGGCTAGGAGTGGAGACAGGAGGATCCTGGGACTTGTTAGCAACCCTGTCTAGATGAATCAGGGAGCTTTAAGTTTCACTGAGAAACCCTATTTCAAGAAATAAAGTGGAGGGACAGGAGTGGTGGTGTGTGCTTTATTCCAGTACTCTGGAGCCTGAGTACTGGTGGATCTCAGTAAGTTCAAGGCCAGCTTGGTCTACAGAGCAAGTTCTAAGACAGCCAGGACAATTTCACATAAAAACCCTGTTTCAAAACAAACAAACCTAAAAATAAGGAAATAAATAAGTGGAGGGGCAGAAAGTAAGAGGACAACTTGTTGGGAAAAAGAAGGGGTTCGCCGGGCGGTGGTGGCGCATGCCTTTAATCCCAGCACTCAGGAGGCAGAGGCAGGTGGATCTCTTGTGAGTTCGAGACCAGCCTGGTCTACAGAGCGAGTTCCAGGACAGCCTCCAAAGCCACAGAGAAACCCTGTCTCAAAAAACAAAAAAAAAACAAAAAAGCAAAAAAACAAACAAACATAAAATTAGTATAAGTCAATACCAAAAGAAAATTTGTAAATATGACATTACAAATATACTAGTGTGTGGAGCACTAGTTCAGCCGGATTTAGTTTTTCTGGAGCTCAGCCTGGCATTTAAAAGGTCTCTAGGTGATCCACTGGGAATGAAGTTTGAGGGTCTGAATTAGTCCAATGCTTACTAACTTTCTGAGCAAGACAAATTGCCTTAGCTCCTTGTGAGGCCATATTTCTCATCTCTATAGGAAGCCTAACTGTCCTGTCTTCCTCCCAACTGCTACAAAGTTGAAAGCAATGATACATGGGGTGAGGTTTTTGAATCAGTATCTAAAATATAAGTGGGGAATCACCACAACACATGGGCTGTTAAATGCAAGGATTTTAGCTAGGAATGCAAGAAGACAGCACACTCCAGCATTAGCATTGACCTGTGACATGCTTGGGCGTATAGTTAAACAGTCTGCCTGGCAAGAATAAGAAGATCGTTATTACTGTCATTTACTTATTATTTGTCTCAGTTAGGGTTTCTATTGCTGTGATGACACATCATGACCAACAAAAGCAAGTTGGGGAGGAAAGGGTATATTTGGCTTACACTTCCACATCTTAGTGCATCGTTGAAGGAAGTCAGGACAGGAACTCGAGCAGGGTAGGATCTGAAGGCAGGACCTGATGCAGAGGCCATGTAGGAGGGCTGCTTATTGGCTTGTTCACGATGGCTTGCTCAGCCCTAGGATAGCACCACTCCTATAATAGGCTGGGCCCTCCCCCATTCACCACTAATTAAGAAAATGCCATAGGCTGGATCTTATGGAGGCATTTTCTCAATTGATGTCCCCTCCTTTCAGATAACAATGGCTTGTGTCAAGGTGGTATAAACTAGCCATTATGTTATTGTTACTCATTATTTTTTTAAAATTTTATTCATTTATTATGTATACAGTCTTCTGCCTGCATGCCAGCAGAGGGCACCTGATCTCATTCAAGGTGGTTGTGAGCCACCATGTGGTTGCTGGGAATTGAACTAAGGACCTCTGGAAGAACAGTCAGTGCTCTTAACCGCTGAGCCATCTCGCTAGCCCAGTTATTCATTATTGTTATTATATATTATTATTACTTTGAAGCAGGGGCTAACTATGTAGCCCCTGTGTCCTGCCTCTGCCCCGAGTGCTGGGGTTAAGGGTGTGTGCCACCACACTTGGCAAGAATGAATATATTCTAAAGAGACTCTGTGCCCTTCTCTTTGGCTATGAGATGGTTGAAAGGATAGATCCCAAGAAATTAGATTCTCCCCAGGAATCTCCTGCTGGAGGAGGAGAAAGTCTTGCAGGCAGTCAGAGGACCTTTCTCTGGGAGGAAAATTACAGTCAGAGAGGCAGAGCTGGAGCTGAGACAATTCTCTGGGAGCAACTGGTCTTGGCTGGATGGCTTGGTTGTACCTATCTTAACTTTCATTTACAAGGAAATTTTAGGATCCCACAGATGGACTGGGAGGGGTGACTGCACTGAATATCTCCTTTTTCTGCCTTTTGCTATTTATTTGGCTCTTTCATTTGGCTTATAGAGGATAGGTGGCCAAATCTGGCTTTTTAGGACACATATGGTAACCCTCAATTCTGGTTGCATCTTTATCCCTATTTTCCTATCGCTATAGTCTCAGGCTCAAGGTTTTGCAGCTTTTTTTTTTTTTTTTTTTTTTTTTTTTTTTTTTTTTTTTAATGTTTATAGGTGTTTTGCCTGCATGTATGTCTGGGCATAACATAAGGGGGGCAGAAGAGGGCGCCAGATCCCCTAGAACTGGAATTGCAGTGCTTGCTTAGCCTCCATGTGGGTACTGAGAATCGAACCAGAATCCTCTAGCCAAGCAATCAGTGCTCCTAACCCACTGAGTCATGTCTCCAGCCACTCTTGAAGGCTTTTACACAGAACCTATGTAGCTGCGTTTGTTTGTAAGGAAAGGACTTTATTCTAGGCCATTGCGATAGAGACCACATTTATTACAATAGAGACTATGGTAGCAGTGGTTGAATTCAACTCTTATTTCAACAGGTATCAGAAGAGACTTCTGAAGGGCAAGATGTAAGAGTGACTTAATTATGAATGGTAGCAGCGTTAGCAGATTGACTGTCTTGGTAAGATCAGACTCAACAAAGCAGAAGGCAAGAAAGGGACCTCACTAGAATTTTTGGTTAAGAAGTTGAGTGCAAAATGCTGGGTTGGTCTAGATGTACATACCTTGCTTGACCTTCCTTGCCAGGTAGAGGATAACAGCTAAACTTCACAGGATGCAACCCCTGGCTCTACACTGTGAGAGAGTCATCGCCTTGGCACTCTATAAACCCTATACACCTTACACGCCTTCCTCAAATCAGTGGTAGAAAAAAAAAAATCAAAGCGGTCCTTATCTGTCCCTGGCGCAGGCGGCGGTCTAGAGCTGGCAGGACTCGCAGGGCGTTATCCTAGGGCGGGGCCCCGCACACCTGCCAGGCGCCAATCACCAGCCGGCGCGCAGGGGCGCAAGCGCCCGGTGGCCTGGGCGGGGTCACTTCGGGTCTCAATCTCCGCTCCTATTGGTAGCTTTGTGATGACATTAGCGGCCACTTCGACCAATGGCTACGGAGCCGGTCCGCAGGGCAGGCGGAAGTAGTGCAGGCAAGGTGGCTCCGCAGTGCGGGCGCAGAGCGGTGCAGCGGAGCCGGGCCGTGGCTCTTGCGCCTTGGGGCTGCAGTCGAGATGCCGCGCTTTGCCCTGACCGTTATCCGCCAGTGAGTATCGCAATCTCCGGGAGCTTCCTGGCCTGGGTCTCCTCTGGAGGGTGGGCTTCCCATGTACTTTGCTTTGCGCCCTCTCGGGTCTACTTCCCTTCCTTTTATCCGCACCTCCCTGGGGGAGGAAGGCAGGACTTAAATGTCTGCAGCCCTGCGTTTCCCCCAGGAAGCTAGTGTGGAGAAGCACGTGATCAAGGTTCCCGGACACTGAGTGCAGGCTCGACCCTGTCTACCGACTTCTCAGCGTGACCTTTCTCCTCCTAGCAGATCCCAGAGTTTGCAGAATTGACGGGCCACGCCTCATCTTTCCGACGCTGGTTGCCTTCTCCCCTCACCCCACCCGTTTCTCTTCGCTGCGGGGATACTTTTGAAATTTGCTTCCCTTCAAAGGTTACAGTTCTGAGAAAGAAGACAGGGCCCCAGCCCTTTTTTCTACAGATTACATGGAGCAGAATCTGACTTTGGATCACCTATTGTTTTCCTCCTCAGCACGTGTTTGCCGCGTGAAGATGGGATGCGCATTCGGGGTGGATAACCGGAGGGGGTTTTCAAGGCGAAGAGATGTTGGTTGGGATTGGGGCTCTAGCTAGGAGCAGCCTCAAAAAGCCTAGGCATCTGAGGACAGATTTAATCTTTCTGACCTGTGTCGGGATAAACAGATTGGTGGCTGCAGTCTTTCTAATCTCGCTGGGGACCGGGAGATTAATTGGAGAAGATGGAGCGCCTGGCAGCAGAGAGAAAGAAATATACCTGAGAATTAATAATTTGTTCTTCTATAAGCAAAGCTCAGCTAAAAGGCAGTTGGTTCTCACCTGTGTAGGCCAGTTTATCAGAACTGCCTTCTGGGCGAGCTCTGAATTTGTCAAGGGACTGGGATTCCCTTTTGTCCTCATAGGGCTCATAGGAGTGCAGACAGCATTTGAACCTTGTCAAATGCCTTCCTCTTCTTCAATAGTGCCTTCTCTGTCCAGTTCCTCCTTTATAGGAAAATATCCTCCGGCATCATGGGATCTGGGTCTTTAGGATTCAGGGATTTTTTTTTGTTTTTCGAGACAGGGTTTCTCTGTGGTTTTGGAGGCTGTCCTGGAGCTAACTCTTGTAGACCAGGCTGGTCTCGAACTCACAGAGATCCACCTAGCCTCTGCCTCCCGAGTGCTGGGATTAAAGGCGTGAGCCACCAACGGCCGGCTGGATTCAGGGATTTTAATGACCACATTAGAAAACTGCTTCCCCATCTCTTCTGCTTCATCCTCTATGTGTTCTAGAATGTTCTGGGGAGGGTTCTTAACCTCCTTAAGGTAAAACAGCTTTGTTGGGAGCCCTGGAGGAACTTCAGTCCGCATTACCCTCTTTTCAAACCGAGAAGAATTCGGACCCAGTTTGAGAGCCCCTTGGTGGGCTGGAGAAACAACCCCTATTAGACTCTACTGGGAAGTATCCGTGTGAATAGGGAGTTTCTTATTTTGTAAATCTGATTCACTGGTGAGTAAGGGGAGTCGACTCCAAGTAATTTGATTAGAGTCACTCGGCAAGTTGGCTAGGCAAGATTTGAACCAGAACAAATTAACCCACTGCTCTCTGCCTCTCAGTTACTTTAAAGCATAGTGTTTGGCCAGCATTTGAATATCAACAGCTTTGAACTACCCTTTATCCTCCTGATATACTTTTAAGGGGTTGTAAGAGTAGTTTTATTTGACAGTCATGGTGGTGTGTGTGCTGTAATCCCAGGAGTCAGGAGGCAGAGGAGTTCAAGGCCAGCCTGATCTTCATAGCAGTGCCAGACCAGCCAGTGGTACACAGTGAGATCCTGTGTCCAAAAAAAAAAAAAATGGATGTGTTGAAATAAAGACAGGATGATGATTAGCTGCTTTCCTGTCATGGCCATCCCAGTTGTCCTCTTTCTGGTGTATTTGAGACACCCTAGAAGCCTCGAGGTTCAAGAACAGACATGCTTTCAAATTTGACTGGTAGTCCCCATACCTAAAATATAGTGACGCATGGAAGAGTTGCCTAACTATATTGAACCGTATTATAATGAAAGAGAAATGTAAAGCAATTTCCTTGTGTCAAACCAAATCTTCATGAAGTCTTATGTGTTTATTTTAATTCATTATGTTTTAAAATTTTTTATGTGTATAGGTGTTTTGTCTTAGTGTCATGTCTGTGTAGCATGTGTACACCTGGTGCCCACAGAGGCCAGAAAAATGGTGTCAGATCCTCCGGAGTTAGAATTATGGATAGTTGTTAATCTGCCACGAGGATGCTGAAAATTGAACCTGGGTCCTCTGGGAGAGCAATCATTGCTCTTAGGCCATGACTCATCTCTCCAGCTTCTAATCTCTTCATATTTTGACACGGAGGTGTGTTGTTTTTGGATTAGAACACCCTGGGTTACAAACTTCAAATCTCTCTTTGGTCAAGGAGGCTGGTGTCAGTGTTCCTACACAAAGCCACAGAAGCCTTCCTGGGTTCTATTCTGTATTGTGTCACGTGCAAAACCATTTTTAGCCAGCTCTTACATCGTTTTTTTTGTTGTTTTTTTTAACTAAATTTAATTTACTTCTTGTATTGTCTTTTTCCTCTCACGATAGCCTTTGAACTCTGTATCTGCAAATGAATTGTTGAAAGGGAGTTAGGATCCATTCATGACTGAGCATCAGGTGATATCCGTCGAGGCTGTAATTTACCTTTTCATACACTCGGGAAAAAATGTCGTGAAAACCCCAAAGTGTGCTGGTTTCCCATAATGGTTGGCTTCTCTGTTGTGGCCAGCTGGTAGCTGTCTGTTGACTTTGAATCCTCTATAAGGATCTTATAAGGGATTAAGTGCAAACCTGGGCTAAGGAACTCGCTTTGAAACAAGAGCAAGTGATGCAGCCTGAGTGGGGCTTGCCCCATGTCTTTTGTGTCCCCCATCATGTCCCGTGCAACACCCCCTCCCCTTCTGCCCACAGAGCCTATAAATGGCTAGTCATGAGACTACAGTTCTTGGCATAAGTGTCTAGACTCCTGTGGGGCCGGGTGTTCTGTTCTGGAAATGGATCACCCTTCAGGATTTGAAAATGAGTGCTGTATCCTTGACTCCTTCCAAATACATCTCTCTGACCTTTCCGAAGTCTCTGCCTTCTCTCTCTGTCACAAGCCAAAGTCTGGCTCAGGGAAGTGGATTCCCTAGCAAAGGGCTTGCTTAGCCTTGGCCACCCTCTAAACTAACTTTAAACACCTGCCTCGAGGATTTATAGAAACTCTTTCATGCTGTTAAAAGCTATATCCTAAATATTTACACAGGTTTTGGGGAAACAGTTCTATTTTGGGATACCTGGTCTTTGAATATTTATAAAGTGGCTTGAGTGCAAAACTGCCCGCTAGAAGCTAAAAGGGACCAGCTATTTTTGTGTGTGTGCCGGGGCATATGCACACTTGGAGGTGGGGGATACTAGAAGCAACTTCAGTAACTGAACCTGGAGCTCAGTTGGCGGCCAGCAAGCCCCAACCTCCAGCACTTGGGTTACAGGCACAAACCATGCCATTTATGTGAGTGCCAAGGTCTAAACTCACTTCTTTCTGCTTACTCAAAGCAAGCACTCTTACCCACCGAGCATCTCTCTTCAGCCCCAGCAGAGATCTTGGTCAACTCCCAGCTAAAGGAAGTGGTTCACTATATCAGATCTATTTTTTTTTTTTCCTTTTACTGGAAAAAAAAAATCACTAGATGAGAGGCTGTGGTTTTGCAAAACCATCGAGTCACTGGAATTCTTTTCAGTGAGTGTTCAAAAGAATGGCCACTGACTGTAGAAAGATCTCAGACTTTTGGTGTGTATTAATCTCCACCTTTAAAAAGAGAACAAAGATTTACTTATTTTTATTTTATGAGTATGGGTGTCTTGCCTGTCTGTGCATCATGTGCATGTCATCCCCACAGAGGTCAGAAGAGAGCAGGGGATCCCCTAGAACTGGAGTTACATATGATTATGAGCCACTGTGGGTCCTCTGGAAAAGCAGCCAGTACTTTTAACCACCAAGCCACTGCTGTAGCCCCTCCACCTAATTTTTAGAGACAGGGTTTTTCGTTAATCCTGGAGCTTTCTGATTGTGCTAGACTGGCTGCCCAGGGAGCCCTAGGGATCCTCCTGTCTCCAGCTCTCCAGGGCTGGAATCATGGGCCCACTCAGTTTTTACCTCAAGTATGAAGCTCAGGTGCTCATGTTTGTATGGGAGCAGGTTACTTATCATCTGAGCCACACCCCCCCCCCCAAATCCTTGTTTTTAAATGTACACAGTGAGGGTGTGTCTTTGGTTCTTGCTGGGAGTAATTGGGAGGATGACAGTTCTATTTAACAGCAGTTCTGTTTTTTTTTTCTTGTTTCTATAGCCCAGGCTGGCCTCGAACTCCTGACCCTCCCATTACAGGCTTGTGTCACCAAACCCAGCTTTTGGTTCTTTGCGAGTCTTGCTTTGTAGCCTGAGATAGCCTGCAGCTCAATATGTAGCCCAGGCTGGCCTTGAACTCAAGCAGCCTTCTTTCATGTCCTCCTAAATGCTGAGATTAAAGGCAGGAATCGCTAGGAGGCAGTTTTTCTTGATCTCAGGAGGATTATTAGTCAGAGAGAAATTGAACCCAGGCCACGGTTCCTATTACTTGATTAGGAACAACAGCGTGCCCAGCCTGCCTTTGTGCTGCTGACATGTCAGAGGTTAATGTCCATTATTAATAGTAGTCCATCAATGGTGGCAAAACCAAGACCAAAATAGTTCTGCACACAGTAATTTCATTTAGGTAATCATGCATTTTTTTGTATCTACGTGTTTAAGAACCAAAATGGTTCTTCTTATTCCTCTGCCCGTATGAGACCACACTGATTCTTATTTATATTTTAGTTACTTAGTTAGTTTTGCTGTTCTGAGTATTGAACCCGAGGCCTTGCAAGTGTTCTACCACTGAGCTACAGCCTTTACACTTGCTTTTTCCTTAAAAAGCAAAGCAAAACAAAACCTTATTTTATTTTTGAGACAGGGCTACTCACTGTGTAGCCCTGTCTGGAACTCACTATATAGTCCAGGCTGGCCTTGAACTCAAAGTTGCACTTGCCTCTTCCTCCCAAGTGCTGGGATTAAAGGCATGGGCCACCATGCCTGGACGTATTGCTTTTTTAAATGTATCCTTTCAATGTTTCTTTATGTGAATCCGGGTATTTTCCATTTCTGAGTGTTGGTACCTTATTTCAGCCTTGCCCTTAGTCCTTTATTGTGGAGGTTGTTCTCTTTCCACACAAGTTTTGTGGAGGTTTTTTTTTTATGTGTATGAGTGCTTTGCCTGCGTATATGTATGTATCACATGAGTGCCTGATACGTGTTGAAGCCAGAAGAGCGGGTATTGTATCCTCTGGGCCTGTGTTGAGAGCCACCAGGTGGGTGCTGGGAATGGGGACCCTGTTCCTCTACAAGAGCATCGACTCCTTTTATCCACTGTGCCATCTCTCTAGTCCCCTCTTGAAGTCTTTTAGACAGAATCTATATTCTGTGTTTTTTTGTTTGTTTGTTTTTGTTTTGTTTTGTTTTTGAGACAGGGTTTCTCTGTGGCTTTGGAGCCTATCCTGGCACTCGCTCTGTAGACCAGGCTGGCCTTGAACTCACAGAGATCCACCTGCCTCTGCCTCCCGAGTGCTGGGATTAAAGGCGTGCGCCACCAACGCCCGGCCTGTGTTTGTTTTTAAAGAATAAACTTTGTTCAAGGTCAGTGCATGATGTGGAGGCCAGGGTGTCTTCCACTGTCATTTTCCACCTTCATTTTTGAGGCGGGGTCTCTTACTGACCGTGGCCTCACGGATTCCTGTCTCCACCTCACCAGTGTGCACCATGTCCAACGTTTTCCATAGTGCAAGGATCCCAGCTCAGTCCTTATGCTTGTGTGGTAATCTCTTTACCAGCCTCACTTGGTGACTTTTATTGTAAGTCTTTCTCGCCATCTAGGCCCGCCCTTGTGGGTCCCTCTCACCTCTCTCTACCAGCCTAGTTTACCAGTCCCCGTTGGTTTTCTGGTTGCTTCCAGATTGGGATTGTTTTGATTTCTTAATTCCTAGTTGTGTTGCCACACCTCAGTCGGGTGCACTGTCTGTAGACAAGGTGCCTGTAGCTGTCTCATGGCGTGACTGCCTCAGCTCTAGAACCTGGGTCAGTTCTGGGTGGGTGCCAACGGTCCTGGAATTTCTTTCTCTTCCCATTGTCACACCCAATCATGTACTCCTTCAGGGCAGCGACCCACAGCCTGACACCCTGGTGGCAGTCCTGCTGTCTTTTCTAGTCTTGATCAGTCAATATACTTAAATTTAATAAGGATACCTCTTAAAACTAATGTGTACGCCGGGCGTTGGTGGCGCACGCCTTTAATCCCAGCACTGGGGAGGCAGAGATAGTTGGATCTCTGTGAGTTTGAGACCAGCCTGGTCTACAAGAGCTAGTTCCAGGACAGCCTCCAAAGCCACAGAGAAACCCTGTCTCGAAAAAGCAAAACAAAACAAAACAAAAACAAACTAATGTGTACACACACCTGCCTTTTAACTAGTGCTTTCCCCCAGCAGTTGATTAAACATTGTTTTCCTGATCCATATACATTTGCTTTAAGGAATGTCTTGGCTTGGGATTCATGAGTTGAGATAGATGGTTGCAAAGAAAATATTTCAATTTGCAAGTTTAAGATTTCATTATGAATGTCATTATAAAATTTGTTATTTTTTCCTCTTTTCAAAAATAAGTTGGTAATGGTATTTTCTTTTTATTTTAGTGGCGAAACAAGATTTAATAAGGAGAAAATCATTCAAGGTTAGTGTCACCAGATTGTTGCCCATATAGTGCCATCTCAGTGTTGATGGGATGTGTGGGCTAATCAGACTTGGTAGGGGAGGGCCGGGCGGGAGGCACTGCAGCAGGGTTAAATTGGAGTGCGATTAGGGGATGGAGGGTACCATGGTAACCACAGACTTGGACCAAAACAGTAGGTCACCAGGAGGAACGAAAGTCTCTGAAGTGGATATGGTATGCAGGGGGTTCTCCACTAGTCTCTGCAGGCCCTCAAAGGGACCCAGCCACTGATTGAAAAGTCATGTTGGGTTCTTATGGTCTTGAAATACCACAGTTGAGATTTAATATGCTTAAAACCAGGTGACATATGCCAGTAATCCCAGCAGGTAGGTGCCTGAATCAGGAGGACCTCTGTGAGTTTGAGGCCAGTATCTGGACTACATAAGGAGTTCATGACTGGCTTAGGCTATAAAAAACGATTTCATATTAGGAAGCATGACATTTACAGATTGATATTAACACCTTTCTAAGCAGTTAACTGATTTCTGTACTAACAGTGAAAGTTCACTATATTCTGGGGCAGTCCTTGTCCTCTTGTTGCGTGCTGGCCGCTTGTATTCTGTGTGTGCTAAGATCTGCAGAGTCTGGCCTATTTAGGAACATCTTGGAGAACTAGGCAGAGGCTGCTGCAGTTGATTCTAAAATCTTTTTAGTTTTAGTTTTGGGGTAGGAACTTCTGGGCTGTGCAGAAGTTGGTTTTCCTTCTTAGTGTGTCTGGCTCCCTTTCTGGGGACAAACTAGTTGTGTGCCTAAACAGGCCTTTGCTTCTAAATGCAGTGTGTGCCCACCTGAGTTATCCATAGGCCCGGGTCCCTCACCAACCTGACCCTTGCCACCCTGGATGCTCGATTGCTCTGCTTGTCAAAGGCCAGGCCACTATGGGTGGAGCCACCACGGGGCAGGGGGATCTGAATTGTATAAGAAAGCAGCTGAGCACACAAGGAAGCCACATTCTTTTTTGGCCTCTGCTTCAGTTCCTGCCTCTCGGTTTCTGCTTTGAGTACCTGCCCTGGCTTTCCTTGATGATGGACTGTAACCTGGGGCTAGAAGATGAAATTATCCCTTCCCTCCCCAAGTTGCTTTGGTGAATGGGTTTATCACAGCAATAGAAACCTAAGACAGTGCCTCAGTCTTGTCTGGAGCAGCCACCTCCCACTTGGCAGCCTGTGGTTCTCTGGGGGGTGTCGTCCAGTGCAGAGAGAGTTGAAACTTGTCTCTCCTCACAAAGTCACTGGGACCATATCATGGGGCCACCCTAGCATCCTGCCACCATCACTTTGGGAGTTAGGGTTTTAACAGACCACCTGTGGAAGGACAAAAACATCCATCCATTCTAGCAACATCTAGTGAAGAATTGTATAAACATCCCCATCTTGGAAAAATACATTCTATTTAGGGTGAACTGGTAACTTAGTCCTCCTTAAGTTTTTTGTTTTGTTTTGTTTTGTTTTGTAATTTTACATTATTGTATTTGTTTGTTTCCAGTTACATGTGTGTTTAGTTTCTTTGGTGCTCGATCCTTTTGCATGTCAGCCCTTTACGGTGAGACACGTTCTCTGGGAGACCCTGTAGTGTGTGGAGTTGGCCCATGGAAAGATGGTCTCTGTCAGTGCACACTTGGGGACTGACATTTCCCACAAGATAATTACTCCCTTTCTGCTTTGTCTTGTTGAGCTGAGCTTGGAGCTCAGGATAAGGCTCTTAGGCTGGTGGCTGCAACCCTGATCTCATTCCCAGTACTGGAGCAACAGCGTAGTTGGTAAAGGAGGTTTTCCATCAGTTGTGAATGTTATCATGAATTATCATCTTGGCAGGATCTGGATTTGTGGAACTGGCCATCAGGGAAGCCATGGTTGCCTGGAAGGGGTTATCTGGTCGGGAAGACCCATCCCGAAAGTGGGCAGCTCCATTCCCTGTGAGGGGAGCAGTCGTCTCTGAGCTTCCTCAGTCCTTCCGCTTGGCTCCCCTACCGTTATGGACTGTCCTCTTGAACTTCGAGCCCAGATAACCTCTTTTACTGTTTTATTTTATGTGTGTGAGTGGCTTGCCTGCATACAAGTCTGTGAACCATGTGTGCAGTGCCCTGGAGACCGGAAGACAGGGCATTGGTTTCTCCAGAACTGCAGTTACAAATGGTTGCCTGGAAGAGTGACAGGTGCTCTTAACTGCTTAGCCATCTCTCCAGCCCCTACCCTCTCTTCCGTAAGTTGCTTTGGTCAGGTATTTCATCAGAGCATTGAGGTGAGTGGCCAACAGATCACATGTCACTAGGCAAGCCGTCCCTACAGCTGCTCTTTAAATCTTCACATTGAGTCTAATGTCCCTCATTTTCAAAGATTTGTTTTTAATTATATGTATACGTATGTGATCTGCCCGCATGTATGAATGTGTACCACATTCAGTGCCCCAGAAGGCCAGAAGGAGTCGGCCTGTAAAGCAGGCAGCTCTTGGTCACCAGCCAGTGCTCCTAACTGCCAAGTAATCTCTCCAGCCAGGGAGTTTCCCTTTTTTCATTTATCCTACATTGTGTTTTCCTTATCTCTAGATTTGCGCCTCCCCTCCGTTTCAGGAAGCAATCTGTCACTGTTTCTTCATTCTCTCCCCTCCTCCACTTTTTCTAATCATCCTCTGGAATTCCAGTTAGGTACATGTTGTAGACTAAAGCTTGTGTCCTTCCAAATCCCTGTGTTGAAATTCTGACCCCCAGTGTCTTTGGGAGGTGATTAGGTCACTAGGGGCATCCTCGTCACCCCTCTTCACCCACTGTGTACGCTGGCAGAGGACCTCGCCAGAAAGAACCTAGCATGCTGGCATCTTGACACACAACTTTGGCCTCCAGAGCAGTGAGAGATCGGTATCTTCAGCTGATAAGCCGCCTTTTCCCTTTGTTGCAGTAGCTTAAGCCAGGAGCTGCACATTTGGGAATTCTTTTTCCTTTATATACAACACATCTGTGAAATGGTCCAGCTCCTCCCAGTGCCTGTGCTGCCCTTTGAATTAAGTCTTCAGCTCTGTGTTTGATGTCCTCACACCCACTCCTGCCAGATTGCTGCCCAGGGAGGGATTTTCCTTATCAGTTCCTTGGTTTAAAAAAAAAAAAAAAAAAATTCTTTAAGAGACTACCACATTATTTTTGCGTGGTTTTGTTCATCTATTATTCTGAATCTACCTTATTTCTAGTCTCTACTGCTGATTTAATATCTAAAGTCTTAGTGGCTCTAAATCCCTTGGTTGTTGTTCCTCCTGGCTTTCATTCATGAGGTGTGTGTACACGAGCGTGTGTGCATGTTGAATCTTTTGTTTGTTGTAAATAAACGAGAACTTATTACCCCATATTGAGAGTGGTTTTCTTGGAAGGGGATTTGTGTTTGATTTTTCTCCTGATCTGAGACTCCATTGGCCTCTCCTCCCAGGGTCTGTTTGGTTTTCCAGCCCTCTGTTCTACGTGGCAGCCCACTCCCCGCCGCCCGCCAGCGAGTGCTGATAACGCGATGACTCTGTCTTCTTCTCAGAGGTTTAGCTCAGAGGCTTCCAGGCTTGCTTCACATTCTGGAGGCCAGCAATGAACAACACATGCAGTTTAGTTTCTTCCTTGTAGGGTGCTCCTTCACCGTACGCTTGGCTTGTCCCCTGGCTTCATAGTACTTTAATTCATTTTGACTTTTCTTTTTTTTTTTGAGATAGTGCTACTCTGTAGTCCAGACTGCAGCTTACTGTAGGCCAGGAAGGCCTCTTACTCATTGCAATCCTCCTGCCTCAGCCTCACAAGTGCTGAGGTTGTAGGTGTGAGGCATCGTGTCTGGTTTTATACCTCCCTCCCTTCCACCCCCCCCCCCCATGAAATAGAAAGGAAAGGAGGTGAGGAAGAGAAGTAATATCTGTGCTGACCCTTTAGACAGTAGAGAGTGATGACATGGCCACCTGACGCAGCCTGCAGGAGCATAGCCTGTGGGTACAGTACACTAAGTGTGGAGAAATGGACAGACATAAAAGAGGGACGAGCCAGATGGCTCAGAGCGATGGAATTCCCATGAGGCCAGCAGCCTTGGTCTCATCTACATCTGAGTAGGCTGAGTCTTCGTCGAGTTATGGCTCTATGTCATATGTGTAGAATCAGCTCTCTAAGAAGCCAGGTGGTCTGGTACCCAAGAAAATGATGAAACATCACGGTAACCACTGTAGATCCTGTCCCTCTCCTGTGACTTCACCTAGATACACCTTTGAATGGTTCTGTCCCACCACAGGGCAAGGAGTAGATGAGCCCCTTTCCGAGACTGGGTTTCAGCAAGCAGCTGCTGCTGGCCGCTTTCTGAACAACGTGAAGTTTACGCACGCTTTCTCCAGTGATCTCACGAGGACTAAGCAGGTGAGTTCAGGCTAAGCGTCTAGGCTGATAGGTCAGAAGCTTAACAACAGTGAGTTTGAAAATCCTGCTTCCAAAGCCTAGTGAAATAGCTCAGTGGGTAAAGGTGCCTTCGGCCAAGCCTGATGACTCAAGTTCCGTCCCTGGGACCCACATGATGGAAGGAACAATGGACTCTTTCAGGTTGTCTCTGACCTCCACATGCATGCCACAATGCTCACACACATTCACACAAAGCGGATGAAATACTGAAACCAAAAACACAAGGCATATGGAGGGGAGAGGAAAGGTCTTAAATGATTTCTGGTGTCTTGTGTCCATCAAAAACAGACATAAAGAAGAAAGTGAACAAAAACGAGCAAAATAACACAGCACAGTCAGCCTCACCTTGAACTTGCCATTCCCCTGCCACAGCCTCCCAAGTGATCAGGTGTCAAGCCTGGTCACCACATCCATCACCAGACAGAGCTTCAGATGCTCCCTTACACCTTGATGAAAGATGAACCGAGAGACTCAACAGAGAACCGGAAACAAGTAAACAGAAATCTTGTGCAAACTGGAAAACTGACAGTGGATTGAAACTGAGGCTTAAAGGAATCAATAGCCACTTAGAGACAGCTTCATGGAGAGCTGGAACCGGAATAGGGAGTGAGAAGACGGTTCTGTGAATAAAGTGCTTGCCAGATAAAAGATGGGTCTATGCAGCAGCCACTAGCAATCCCAGCAACTGGGCGATAGAGAAATCCCCAGAACAAGCTGGCTAACTGGATCAATCAGAACCGGTGAGCTCCATCCGGGGTTAGCAAGAGACCTGCCTCAATAAGTAAAGTGAAGAATGATCCAAGAGCATCTCAGGTCCTACAAGAGCACACAGCACATATGTGCAAACCTGCATGCCTAACACACACACACACACACACACACACACACACACACACCACACCACACCACACCACACCACACCACACCACACCACACACGCGCAGCCATAATGAAGGCTAGCATTCTTTTCTGTTAGGAGCCTGATAATAAGTACTCCACGTTTGATAGTCTCTGCAGTGTCTGGGACAGCTGTTTATTTCTGTTCATACTGATATGGTTTGAATGTAGTTTTGCACAGAGTATATCAGTAAGTGGCCACGTGGCTGGGCTCTAGTAAATCTTTATTAAAGCAGGTGATAGTCTGGATTGGCCCTGTGGACTAGATGTACATAACAGTAAATACCAGAGTTGGGCATGAAGAGAAGCCACAAACCCCAGGTGTCATATGAACTGGGCAGGTGCTTGGCTATTGAGCTGCAACCCCAACCAGAGAAACAATTTTTGCACAAGAAAACTATAGTAATTTATAAAAAAAACTAAAAATGACATGCTTTTGAAACTCCATGGTGATGACCCATTCTTAATAAAAAAAAAGGAGAGAAAGAAACAATCATTTGTCTTTTGCATTTCAGACCATATCTGGCATTTTGGAGAAAAGCAAATTTTGCAAAGACATGATGGTGAAGTATGACCCCAGACTGCGAGAAAGGGTAACTTGTTTGACCTTCTACCACAAAGTTCACTGAGCCATCCCTTAGCTAAAACACAGAGGTGGTCCTCTCAGGAACTTATTTTTAATTATTGTACGTATGTATGTATGTATGTATGTATACCACAGGCATGCCTGGTTTTCAAGGAGGCCATGAAAGGATGTTGGATCTCCCGTGACTGGAATTACAGACCTATTGTGAGCTGCCATGTGGGTGCCAGGAATTGAACCTGGATCCTCTGCAAGAGCAGCCAGTGCTCTTTACCACTGAGCAATCTCTAGCTCTTTCTTGGGAATTTAGAATCAACTAATGTATATTTAAGGATCTGTGTAACTAGGCATGGTGACACATATCTGTAATCCCAATACTTAGAAAGTAGAGGCAGGAGGATTATTAACTTGAGACCAGCCTGAGCTACACAGACCCTATTTCAAAAAAAAAAAAAAAAAAAATCTAGATAGTAGCTAATAGCTCAGTGGTAGAGTACTTGGCTAGAATGTTTGAGGGGTAGGATCGAGGAGAGGGTGATGGGGTGGGGAGGGGGAGTGGACTGAACTGTGTCAGTCCTGCTGTACAATACATAGAGCACCTTATTTAACTCTGTGAGATAAGCGTCTTGAATGATAGCAGGTCACACTGGTAAAAACTTGTATACTGTGGGGAAACTTAAAGAAAGGGCAAAGCGTTCTCCCTCCCTCTCCTACCCTCACTGTGAGTGTGTGGGTTTTCTTTCACCCTGTTTGTATACCAGAAGTGAGTCTTCTTAAAGCTGAGCTTTAAATAATTTAGGGCAAAGCACATGGAAATCTCCACTCAGAGATCCAGATCCAAACCTAGGTCTCATGGAGCGTTGACATTTTTTTTTTTTTTTTTTTAAATGCCCTACAATACGGTCACCAAACTCAATAACAACAGCTCTGGTTCCTTCTGATCCTGGCTGGAAACGGAACAGAATGATGAGGGCGTTCTAAAAGACAAACCTGTCTCGGCTCGTGTGGTTCAATACACATCCCAAGTTCTGGCAGAAGGCAGTTCCCTCTCGTGCCTGAGAACCGGCACATAGAGTCAGACGTGATACTGCTGGGTAGGCAGGCCCTCACGTTGCCCTGCAACGCGTTTCTCTCCATCCTCAGAACCGGGCACATCCCTTGTTTGTCTGGCAAAGCCCCTCCTCAGGAAGTTCCTCCCCACAGCTTGGACAGACCACCTAACTTGAGCATTCTAGTGTGTTCTAGGCCATGGGCCTCTGCTGAATGCATCCCCACTAGCAGTTAAGAGGAGATGGGGTAATGAATTAGTATAGGGAGCTGAGCTCCTTCCTGGACAGTTTCAGATTTCCACGGGTTTTTACCATTGTATCTAAGCAGCACCTTTATCTGACTGGACTATTGCAGAAGTATGGAGTTGTAGAAGGCAAGCCGCTAAGCGAGATGCGGGCCATGGCCAGAGCCGCTGGGGAAGAGTGTCCCCTGTTCACTCCACCGGGAGGAGAGACACTAGAGCAGGTATGTAGCCTGCATCCAGGTTGCCACATTGCTGGCACATCGGTGGACTTGTCAGTGACCTAGTCACTGAATCCTAACTGATTTTGTACCCTAGCTATTTGTGACTGACAGCCAAGCGGTTTGCAAGCTTTGCAGACAGCTGCTTCCCCCCCTCCCCCCCTTTAGAGTTACCCTGTCTGTCTCAGCCGCTGTGGGCCAGCAGCCATCACTGGTGATAGGAGCACTCTTTTAGATGATGTAAGAAAACCATGAGCTGATGGTATAGGCAGTGTTGGCACAGGCAGTGTGGGCAGCCGCTGAATCAAGCTCTGCCTCTGGACCCCCCAGAGTTCTGGTCTCCTTGCTGTGAGGCAAGTGCTTTGGCATTTCACTGAGGCATTTCTCCAGCTCCCCTCTTCCCCAAAATGTCTTCAGCAACTAGTGATGTTTTTTTGAGGTCCCATAGAAACTTAGGGTTTTAGTGATCCGTTTTGTTTCAGGCTTATATTTTAAGGACACCATTAACTTATTTCCTCTTTTACTTCTTATAGGTGAAAGTACGTGCAAAGGATTTCTTTGATTGTATTTGTCAACTAATCGTGGATGAGACAGGCCAGAGAGAAATCGTCTTCCCCGGGGCTCCAGGCAGCTGTCTGGAGAGCTGTTTGGCGGAGGTATTCCCTGTAGGAAACCGTTTGCAGTTGCATCCTGATGGTGGCACCCCTGGTTTAGCAGCCAGCATCTTAGTTGTGAGCCATGGAGCTTACATGAGAAGCCTCTTTGGTTACCTTCTGAGTGACCTCAAATGCTCATTGCCAGCAACACTAGGCAAATTAGAACTCTCGTCAGTCACTCCCAATACTGGGATTAGTGTCTTTATCGTAGACTGTGAGGAAGGACGCGAACCAGCACTTCAGTGTATTTGTATGAACTTCCAGGAACATCTAAATGGAATGAGCGAAAAGAACTAAGTTTAAAGCCCTCACATTTTGCAACCTCTGAAGGGAGTGCCTTGGCCTGTTGTGTCCTCTGCTCCTGCCATTTTAGAAGCAGTTAAGAATTTATGTGATAGAGCCCCACTGGGGTCCTGGCTGTATCAGATGACAGTAGAAATCCACCCCAAATCAACCTGGTTTTTCCCAGTACACCCGCCATTTTCTACAGAAATGTTGCCACTCTGTACCATTTATGTTTTTTAATAATGTGTGAGGACATCCAGCATTGCACATTAGGGGATTAGTAGCCGCCTTCCACAGTCTTCATTTCATTGACCTTTTTGATGTCTAGATAATGGTATTGGCTGTTGAAGATAATTGTGTGCTTTTTCACTAGTTTATTATCAAGTGCTCGCAAGAAAGAATGCTTTGTATAACTCACTGCGTATTTGCAATGGTTATGTCAGAGTCCAAAGTCCTTTAAACAACTGGCACTTCTTACTGTCATCAATGTGTGTAACGTAAAATGGCAAAACACTAAAACATCTTTCATAGAATTCAGCTCTTGGGTTTTTTTGTTTTTGTTTTGTTTTGTTTTTTAATTCTAAGGGCCTCAAAATACAGGTGAAGGCCTGGAGGGGTGGCTCAGTGGTTAAGAGTAAGTACCTCCTGTTCTCCCAGAGGACCCCAGTTCAGATCTCTTCTTGGGCAGCTCACAACTGCCTATAACTCCAGCACCAGGGAGCCAACGCCCCCTTCTGGCCTCTGTGGGCACTGGCACACACACATAAGGAAGCCCCAGGGCAGAAGGCAAAAGCAGCTTTCCAGGCAAACCAGGAAAAAAAAAAAAAAAAATTATCCCTTGCTTCGAATCCACGCTGCATATGCAGACTTTCCAGTTGAGGAATGATCTAAAGAAAGTAAACTCAGACTGGCATCCAGAAAAGATGCTGAAAATGGTGTCCAGAAGGAACAGATGAACTGGCCTCCTTTCCCCCAGATGGCGCTGTAGGAAAGGGATTTTGATTGTTCTCTCCCCCCCCCCCCCAGGACTTCTTATCTGAGAAAATGATTAACTGCTGAAAATTCGAGGCTCAAGACCCAGTATTGGAGAGAGGAATTGGGTGAGGGAAATCTAATTGTAACCCTGGACCTGGCTGTCCAGTGCTGGAAGCAGCTAGTGGATTTGAGAGCTTATTGAAATGTAAGCCGCCCAGGGAAACAAAGTTCACCTGCAAAGGAGTGCACAGCTCAAGGCTGGCCACAGCCTCGTTTTAAAGCACTGGGTCCGGCCCCTGTCTGGACACTTTGCGGAGCTGATGCCAACACTTGGATGCTGGTGACCAAAAACCAAGGGTTTATTTGGGATTCTAAATGCATGTGTACCGTGAACAAAAACATTGCTAACATCATGAGTCCAGAGTGTGGCCCTGCCCCAAGAAACTCAAGGAGTAATTATGGAGGCCACAGAAAAGTTGTCCCATCGGTGACAAAGAACTTCAGCTCAAAAATCATGTTAGCATTTGGGGCAAGAATTGCCACAAGAGACTTCAGTCAAGCCCAAGGCTGTGGGTTTTGGTTCTATTCCCACTCCTGGAGAGGTGGGTTATTTTTTTGTTTGCTTGTTTGTTTGTTTTGTTTTTGACCTCAAGCCTCCGGTGTCAGGTGTGTGGTCCAGAGAACAGTTCTGACAGCAAGTGTTATGGGTTAGGTTCATCTGCGGTTTCACGCATCTGACCCGAGTCTCTGATGCTTCCCCAACAGTGATTTCTCCTCTTACCAGGCTGTATTTCCCCATCCCTAAAACTAGAAGATAATGTGTTACATCTTGAACATGCTAAAAGGAATAAAAAAAATTATAAAGGTTGACAGAAAAAAAATACATAATGGATAAACTACTCCAAAGCAGTATCAAGGTGTTCTCTTGATCTGAAATCAGGTGAGAAGAAACCAAGAACCTTTGCCTTCTCAGTATTAGCCAAAAAACAGGGTGCCGGTCATCCTCCTTACACCCCCCCACCCCCGCCCACCCCCACAGGCTTCCAGAGATGAATTAGCACACATCTTGATACTTGCTGAACTGCATCCTAACCACCTCCAGTGCCTGGAGTCAGACTTGGTCATGTTCAGTTATATAGATTTGCTAAGAAGATTCTTTTTAGCAATTTCAGGGTTATGGAAAAATCAGGCAAAAAGTAGGAAGTTCACCTACACATCTTCCCTCCAGTTTATTACCATAGTGGGTTTTAAAGAAGTCTATCTGAATGAGGTGTTCTACATGCCAGTTTTGAGTGACTATCTTGACTTCGTGAATCTCATGTCACAAAAGGAGTGGAGTGTCCAGTGGAGGCTGCCTTCCCAGGAGGCCAGCATTTCCTTTGATATCTACGTTGCAAATAAAGTTCAGTGTTCATGCCATTCTTGGGTGTGCTCAACACAGTCTGCGTCTTCTGCCATTGTTGGACTTGGCATGAAATTGCGCCCTAGAGGAAAGTTACAAAAACCCAAGGGGTTTGGAGTTGTCGTATGTTACTCAGTGGGCCCTAGGTTTCATCCTCACCACTGGGGGAAAAAAAAGAAACAAGGGGAGGGGGGACCCTGCCCTTTAAAAAACAAAAAAGAACCTAGTGTTAGGGAGTAGAGACCCCTTAGCCAGCTCTACAGCGCAGCCCAGGTACAGGGCACCACATTAAGTTCTCTGGTTCTTTTCACTTCTCCCAGTGTGTACGAAACTACAGTATTCTGACACCTTTCAAATGTACATTAATAACCGGCTGTCTGTTCATCATTTTACCCATATTGTTTGGGACATTATTTATTTGGGAATGTATGGATCTATTTAATTGTAACAACTATTCTATTGAATAAATAAAGCACCTTTTGTTTCTCGTGGGTGTTTAGGTCTGTCCAGTGTTCTGTAGGCGCAGTGTCAAAGGGAATTTGGGGAGGGGGGGTAGTGAGACAGTCTCACCGTTTATGTCAGGTTGGCCTCAAACGCATGATGCCTCTGTCTCGACCTCCCCAACGCTGGAATTAGAGGTGTGCGCCTCCACACCGCCCAGGAAGTCTCACTGCATCATTCCTGTGCAGGATCTTGTGTTTCCGGATCCTGTGTGACCCAAATGGTACCCTAAACCCATGCTACTCGCCCGTCCCACACTCGGTGTTCAGTGCCCTTTACACTGCTGCTAGGTGCGGTCTCCCCCAGTTTTAGTAATCTGACACGAGAAAACCATAGCAGACTCCAGCAGCCTTTTCTGTTTCGAGCAAGTGCTGCGTAAAAATATCCCATCGGTGTCAGGATGGCACTTAGATAAAGTACCGCTCATGAGATGCCACATCCTTCGTCCTCATAAGGGATCTCCCACCAGGTCATTCTAACTAAGTCCCCAGGCTCATAAAACAGACCAACTGAGCTGCCTGGAAGAGGCATTCACATAGCAAGAATGAAGTAGTAATCCATGAGGTTAAGATACCTTTATTCAGATAAACGCAAGCCAGAGTGTGCCCAGAGGCAACAGGCTAGGGAGGCCAGAGACAGCGCTCCCACGTCTGTGGCCCCCTTAAGAATTCCCCAGGCGTCATCCTGAACCTCCCCTGACCACGCCCTCACGGGTAGTCAAGCACACCTGTAGCATGCTCCTAGGAGGCAGGGCTACAGTGTCTCTCTACACATTCATTCTCCAACCTGACAGCTCCCTGCAGGCTGTGCAGTGAGCTCCAGGTTCCCCGCTTTCATGGGTCCTCACCCCATGCTGGCTTTGGTGACATAGCCGTCTTAAGTCATTTCTACTCCTGGAAGTAACCCAATAAACTCATTGGCTCACCCAGCTGGACTTTGATAGTATTTGTGCTTTGAACTGTTTGTTGTCAATTCCCTTTCCCTTAAGTGGAGTGAGGAGACATTGGCTCATGTCTCCCCAGGAAAAGTGCCACCCAGTAGTCCTGCTTCACATCTCACACGACAGTAACTCTGTGTTAAGAACACATGCTCTTGGTTTATAGCTTAAACATAGCCCCTCCCCCATGTGTTGAAGGCCTGGTCCCTAGCCGGCTGAGCTAGTTGGAGGTAGTAGCGCCATGTAAGGGGCAGGGCTTAATGAGATGACCTCAAGTCATTGGGGATGTACAGACTAGTCCGGCCTCAGCCTCTTTTCCCTTACCAGCCTGAAAGGAAGTGGTTTTCCTCTGCCACAGGCTCCCGCTGTATCTGCTGACTTATCTATCACAGACACGAAACAGCAGGGGTTGTGGGCCAGCACTTCCAAAGTGTGGTGCAAACCCTTTATCTTCAGAAACTGATCATGTTGCCTATTTGTTAATAGTGATGGAAAACTAATATCTGCTTAACTGAGATTTCAGTGTGTCTTATTCAAATTAAAAATTCTTTCAAGGAATCACTTAGGTAATCAGAAACCCAATATTGATATAATTTCATCATTTTGGTGAATTAAAATTGTTGAATGTGCTTATAGATGGAAAAAAATTTGACTCTGGAAATTCTTTTTCCTTTCCCCATTCTGTTTTCTCCAGATTTTCCCAAATGCCTACCTTTGATTCTCACATCTCAACACATTCTTTGCAGTCATACAAAGGGGATAAGAAACAGAAGCTGAGAGGAATTGTATTTTTATTTAAAACAGAAGAAAAGAAGTGGCGTTACATTTTATAAATAACTATAAATATAGAGTGATAGGCAAAATCTTCCAAATAAATAAATAAATATTGCCACATGCAAAGGGACCTAAGAAATTACAAGGTTACCTTGGCTCTGCCAAAAAGAAAGCCCCATGGTGGTGTTGAGCTAGTGCGTTTACAACCAGTTTGCTACTCGAGTTCTTTCTGGGTTCTTCCACATAGTTGTCTCAGTGGGAGGGCCTCTAGTGGCCGATACCCCCAATGGGAAATGAAAGCCAGTGAGGAAAAGGTTTGGGGTGCATGGCATCTACTGCTCTGTCTGCACGGCTTTAGTATTTCAGAGTGGGAGCTGGTCCTTCACATTGCTTGATGTTTCTCTGATCAGCAAAAAGAGTGGATTCATTTCTAAGTCTGTGCATGAAGACAGTGGAAAACAGGAAGTTGACTGAATCTGCTTTGCCACGATTCTATTCAGGTGCTCATTTAAAGAGAGGTAGAAAGGGGCACCCTTGATTGAGGTCTATCACCAGCTAAGGCTCAGAGGAGAGGAGAACCTCAAAGCCTTCTGGATGTTCACTGTGAGGCTATGGTCACCCCCGGACAACCTGGAGTTCCTGGGACACCTAAAAAGTGTCTTCATTTAATGCCCCAAGAGTTCCTAAGAGTAGCCTCCATTTCTGGGTTAACCCCTGCTAGAGACCTCTCCTGCTAGCTAGACCTTGGATCCCTTTTCACTTAGGAGGGGGAAAAGGGATGTTTTGTTTGTTTTTCAGTCCACAGAAAAACTTCACCTGGAACAGCTCACAGCTCCAGAGCTCTTCCTTTCCTGGCACGTTTTCACAATCCACCTAGAGTACATCGCAACTCCTGGTGGCGACTTCCACTAAAATTCTCTTCAGAGAGTTCGTGCATTTTGCATTTTGCAAAACACCCTAGCAAGGTGGACTTTCCTAAGCCAGGGCGGCAGAAAAAGCCACTCTATCTCAGAGAGCTGGGAACGGAGCAGGGTTGGCACTCATTCTACGAATCTGGCAAAGGATCTTCAGTCTGCAGGAAGGCTGAGCTTTGAGGCACACGTTTCAGTTCACCATGCCTGTGGATCTCCTTGTCAGCCTCCTGCCGATCTTTTTTTTGAAAGCTCTTCCAGAATGGGGTGGGAGGGGGTTAGAAATCAGTGTTTTTTGCAGCTTGCCCAGTAAAGCCATTATGGTGCTCAAACTCAAAAACCCAGAACAGTAACTAAATGTCATAGAGACAGCCTCTTCCCTGTGTTCAAGGTGTGAACCCTGAACCTCTGCTTCTAAATGCTAATTGATCAGTGAGAATGCTAGGCAAGAAACAGGCTAATAAAAGCCAAGTGTCTAGTTTACCTGTTAGTTAAAAAAATTAAAAGCCAGGTGTCTAGTTTACCTGATGGGGCTTTTAAAACAGATTAACGTTATAAATTACGTGTATGTGTGTGTGTGTGTTGGGGGAGGGGGGAGTATGTGCATGTGAGTGCAGGTATCCAGGCAGACTAGACGCATCAGATTCCCCTGGAGCTAGGATTACAGGTAGCTGTGGGTGCTGAGAACTGTCCTCTGTCTGAGCAGCACAGGCTCTATACCTCTGAGCCATCTCTCCAGCCTCCCACTGTTGGTGCCTGGCTGAGGCCTTGCAGGTAACTCTCAGGCCCAAAGGGAAGGGGGAGAAGCAGGCACCCGGCCTTCCACCTTGCACGTGGGCTGTGCCGATTGGAGGATGGAGGCTGAGGCCGCCGGGTCTGGTGGCCTAGGCGAATCTGGGAAAGGGACGGCACCGGTCCACGCCTCCTGCGCCCCCGCGAGCATCCCCGCGGCCTCTGCGCAGGACGCCCAGTGGGTCACTGGCCGCGAGGTCACCTTCCTCGGCGCTCGGCAGCTCCCGCGAGCAGGACACGGGCACGGGCGTGGCACGGGGCCGCGGCTTGAGCACGTTCAGTGGGTCCCACTCGGGAGGGTCCTCGGCGCTGCGCGTGTGGCGCCGTGGCCGTGCGGTATGGAAGCGCAGCAGCGGGACCTCGTTCCTGCGCGCCAGGAACTGCGAGAAGGGAGGCGGGTTGGTGCCGGGCTCGAAGGGGCGCTTGGCGCGGCCCAGGCTCACCAGGTAGTGATGCTGTGGCGACAGGTAGACGTCATAGCCATTCTCCAGAGTCCGCTGGCGGAACCTGCAGTTCTCCGGGCTGAAGTGATGCTATAAGGGAAGGGGAGCACGAGGAGGTGAAGCTCCGTTAGGAGCTACTGCTTAGCCCAGCCCCTCACCTCCCTCTTAAGAAAGGATGTCAGAGCGCAGAACTTGGCTCCAGCTTCAGAGGAGTGACCCTGGAGCACACTGCCTGGAGGACCTTGGTCTGGAGGCCAGCCTGCTGGAGCAGGACCCAGAAAGAGTGGATGACACTCCTCTTGTTCAGTGTCCATGAGGAGAATTGAGCATCCACAGTCTCATTCATATCCGTATTCATTCTGTCTGTTTATGTCTGTCTCTCTTTACTGTCTGCAGCAGGCGTGGGGGCGGCGGGTAGGAGAGGGAGCGACGGACGACTTAGGCTAACATTCATTGTCTCCAGACCCTCTCCCTCGGCCCCATCTCTCCCCTTTCCTGGGGCTTGACTAAGTTTTCATACAGGCTAGGCAAATGCCTTACCACTGACTTACAGCCACAGCCCTTTTTCTGTTGTTTCCATTTTGAGGTAGAGTCTCACTGAGTCTCTGCTGTGTACTCCAGAGAGATGTTGAAGTTTCAGCCCTCCTGCCTCAGCCAACCGACTAGCTTTGATGGACGGCTTGTGCCACTGCGCCTGAGTTGTATACACCTTTTAAAGCTCCACTGTCTGGAAGGAGGTTGCGGCTTGTCTCTTTGCCTAGAGACTGGAGCTGGGATGGACTTTGAAGGCTCACATATAATTGAGGGTAATGGCACCAAGACATAATGTAGACTGAAGGTCAGAGACATGAACTTGCTAACAGATAGTCTGGGAATGAGTAATAGATATTCTCCCATTTGTACTGAGTTTATTGAATGCCTACCTGGACCTTTACATATTTCTAAACTGCGCAAAGAATTCTAGAGGTGAGGGCTTCCTGCATAGATATCTATCTACTCTGGACAGATGATATTGTAGGTGCTGGTACGTGCACAGAACTTATATTTCAGGAACTGTGTAGTGGACATTGATAAGGGATTCCTGAGTCGATTGGTTGTTCTTAATTTCTGCCTCAAAATTTTTGGGACTATGC